TTCTATTAGAACAGAAGAAAGGCAGAAAATGTGATAGAGGTTCCTACCTTAAGCTAGAAAAAGAGCAAAATAAACCCTAAATAACTACAGAGCAGACAAATATTAAAGATCTAAAAAGCCAGAAGCTCTATGAAAAAAAAAAAAAAGGCAAATCCCCAGCTAAACTGATGAAGGAAAAAGGAGGAGACAAATCAGGATATGAAGATATCAGGAATGAAGAAGGGGATAGCATTACAGATCGTATGGAAGTGAGAAAGATCAAGGAACATATGAACCATTTATAACAATAAGATGGACAACTTGGACACAATAGACATTTTTGAAAATGAACAACATACTGAAATTGAAATAGAAAGCCTTAATATTGAAAGTCCTATCAAAGAAATTGAATTTATAAGTCAAAACCTACCCGAAGCAAACTCTTGGCCCAGATGATTTAACTGGCAAATTTTATTAAATCCAACTTTACAAGAAGTTTTAGAAAATAGGAACAAAAGCTTCCCAACTTGTTTTTATGAGGCCAGCATAATGCTGATAATCAAAAGTGGAAAAAGACATTACAGAGTAAGGAAATGATGCCCATTATTCTGCATGAACATGGGTACAAAAGTCCTTAACAATATATTAGCAAATTAATATTAGCACATTAAATCTGGCAGTATATAAAAGGGTTACTATGTATATCATGACCGAGTTGGGGTTATCCCAGTATAATTTTAAATGTAATTAACTCTAGGTTTACTATTTGAAAAGCAAAGTACTTTCATGTGTTAACAAAATAAACGAGAAAAGTCCTATGATTTCAGTAGGATGCAGAAAAGGCAATTTTTAAAAAGCCATCATAAAAACCTGGCGAATTAGGAACAGACATCAACTTGACAAAAGGCATCTATGGAAAAAGGTGCAGTGAACATCACATTTAGTAGTAAAACACTCAACACTCTGCCCCTAAGATCAGGACCAAGGCAAGGATGTCCACTTTTATCACTTTTGTTCAACATTATACTAGAGGCTCAGTGCTACAAAGTCACGAAATAAAAAGGTATAGACAGAAAACGTCACAAAGGATACGGTTGCTTATGTAGAAAAACCCAAGGGGGCGCCTGGGTGGCTCAGTTGTTAAGCGTCTGCCTTCGGCTCAGGTAATGATCCCAGGGTCCTGGGATCGAGTCCCACATTGGGCTCCCTGCTCAGCGGGAAGCCTGCTTCTCCCTCTCCCACTCCCCCTGCTTGTGTTCCTGCTCTCACTGTCTCTCTCTGTCAAATAAATAAATAAAATCTTAAAAAAAAAAAAAATCCAAGGAATCCTAAAAATAAGTAAATAAAGGTACCCTTTACCCCAAGGGATAAATGGATCTGGCAAGGTCAGTGTACAAAAATCAATGCTACTGTTACATACCACCAAGAAAGAGTTTGAAAATGCAATTCAAAAAATCCATATACAAAACCGTCAAGTACTATCGACGTGAAATGCTTAGCAATGAACTTACACATGTAAGCTCCTGTACCCTGAAAACTACAAAGCTTTGCTGTGAAAAAGACTTAATCACGTGCTGAGAAACTAACTCTTGTTGAGGTAAAAATTCTTTCCAAATAGGTCTACAGATTCCTATCACAAGCCCAACAAGTTTTGGGGTAGAAAGTGACAAGCTGGTTCTAAAATGTGAGGAAGATACAAGACTTAGCACATCCAAGGTGATCTTGAACAAAGTTGGAGGACTTAACACTCACTACCTCATTTCAAGGCTTGACCAGAATAGTGATTATGTGGTACTGGCATCGGGATAGACAAACAGATCAATAAAACAGAATACAGTTCATAAATAGATAGATCTACGCTTATACAGTCATTTTTGATGAAGGCATGAAAGCAATGCAGTGGGAGAAAGAGTCAGACCCAACACCATCCACAAAAAGGCACTCAAAATGGATTATAGATCTAAGTGTAAAACCTAAAATTACTGTAAATTCCTAGAAGAAAATAATGAGACTACAGGCATGACAGTTCAATGCTTCAGACCAGTAAGCCAGGAAGAAAATGAGTATCTGTCTACAGACTGGGAATATATAAAGAACTCCAACCACTCCATAATAAAACTAAAAAGAATGCTCACTATTCATCAACAGGGAGATGCAAAATCAGACCAGATATCTACTGGTTTCTGAATACCAGAAATACCACTACTTACCTTTCGAAATGGCTACAATTAAACATGGACACCTCCGAATCTTGGTGCCAATGAGAAGCCACCAGAACTGTCACACATGATTGGTGGGAGTAAAATGGTTCAGCCACTTTGGAGTGATGGGAACATTCTGTATCTGGATAGGCACTACCAAATGGTACACTTGACATCTGTGTAGCTCCACTGTATGAAAATTTCTACCTACAACAAGACCCCAGAGTGAAATGTTATCACTGTGGTAGCTTTTCAAAGTTTTAAAATAGTTCTAGAGACCCGGAAAATTGCCAGTTCAGTCTGGTAATAGTAACTGACAATTATTAAGCTTTTAAATACGTGCCGTGTACGGTGCTAAATATTTTGCACAGCATTCTCCTTTAATCATCAAGAACCCTAAGGGAAGGGACCATCATGCACCCCATTTTATGGATGAGCAAAGTGAGGCTCAGTATGGGTAGTACGTCCCTGTCATACAATACTTGCCATCTCAACACCCTGCAGAGAATGTGAACTTCTTCTGATGAGTGCCCCCCCCGCCCCGCTAGCCAGAATAAAATGCAAATTCAGTCTGCATGATGACTGATTTGGGGCCAAATTGTTGTCTCAACAGTGTTTGGCGTGCTGGCGCTCTTCCCCGGGTGTTAAACCATTTCAAGCAAATGTAAGAGTGTTAAGAGCATTTGTAGGGAGGCTCATTTCTTCCCAGGCCCCCTCTTCTAGTCCAGCGGATTTTCAAACTTCTTAACAAGTCACACGTGGAAACCTTTGTAAAATACAGTTCCAAGCTCAGGGCAGAGAGGCCCGCGGCCCCACCTGCATTCATCCTGGCAGCTCACTTCCACAAAGCCTGTCCCAGGTGCTGGAGTCCAAGCTTCCTGCCAACGCTTCGCTGCCTTCTCGAAAGGGTGGGATGTTTGGAGGGACCCGAGCACGTTCCTAACTCCGTAGAGCTCATTCAGACACACGTACAGCTTCACAAGACCGGAAGGAATACCTGCCCTGTGAGCATGATGCATTTTGATACTTTGTGTTAACCACCAAATTGATTGACTATAAATACAAGACCCATCTTTTGAAAAACACTGCTCTAAGGTACGTGCTGATTACACGTTATTGACATCACCCATGCGAACTGGAGAACTTGTATATACTAAGGGGAAGGCAGAGCAGACAGCTCAGAGACAAAGAAAAAGTCCCGTGGAAAACACCTCAGTACTCTCAAAGTCGTCTTGGGTTTACAACAGAAGTGAGGAGTTATTCCAATTCTTCTTCGGAAAGCAAATCTCTTCTCACTTAAGCCTTTCTAATACAAATAGGCTAGAAGCTTGGTGTTTGTTTTTTTTAAAGAATGCTTTTTTTTTTTAAGATTTTATTTATTTGACAGAGAGAGACACAGTGAGAGAGGGAACACAAGCAGGGGGAGTGGGAGGGAGAAGCTGGCTTCCCACTGAGCAGGGAGCCCGATGCGGTGCTCGATCCCAGGACCCCGGGATCATGACCTGAGCTGAAGGCACTTAACGTCTGAGCCACCCAGGCGCCCCAGTGTTTAATTATTTTTAACGGAGCTTGGAGGCAGAGACTGATGAGGTAGCAACCAGAAATTTCCTTAATAAGCTACTTGCTTAGAATTTCAAGCTCTAGGCTTAAATTGTCTTTGAAGGAGTAATCAGGCCTTTCCTTTTTACCCATAGCAGGGAGGGAGAGGTCATAAGTGAAGAACCCAAGGTAGCTTTGCGATTCCAGAAGCTGCTATGAGCCAGGTATGAACTGATTACCCCTGACTGAAGTGGAGCTGCCACGTTTATACCACTCTTCAAACAAGTGAGAAGGCTCACCGCACCCTTTCAAACTGCTGTTTTGTAGTGGCTTGGCTACTTTATACTACTGTCTTCTGTCACCTTAAACCAACAGACGACAGACCTGTAGCTTGGGCTCAGCGCAAGGGACTGCCTAACCCAGCAGCGGGGAAGACAAGACAAACACCTCAAGAGCAGAGTAACATACAACCCACATCCTAGTCAGGATCATAAATGATTTATACTTTATCTGGCTCCGGAGTGGTGCTGGGAGAAACAAAATCAATCACAAGTAGACTTAGGATTCCTGAAATGTAAATTTTTTAATATATTTAAAAGCACACAGAAGTCTCCTTGACTTATAAAAAAATAAATACATAACAGGACAGATTTATTCATGATTCTGGGGCTCTGATGAGGTAAAACTTTTTAATGGATGTGGTGTGTCAATGTAAAACAAACATGATGTTACACACACAGAAGCGTATTCCAGTTGTAAAAGCAAATTCCTTTGAGGATCAGAGTGAACCACGATCGGTCTTCCACTGTGGAAGTCGTATCCAGAGCTGGCGGCTGGGACTGGGCCCAGGCACGGTGGGCTCTGAGCAGCCATCCCACAACCCTGGGCACCAGGGCAGAAGGCAGAGCCCAGCAGCCCCCAAGGCCACCCGGCAGGCAAGCCAGGCTTCTGGAAGGCCTCCGTCAAAGGCTGCACGAGGCTCCTGGCCTCGGCGGTGACTATGAAGCACAGGGGTGATTGTTTTGTACTGACTTGTGGCTATCTTAAGTTCGAGAGAAGACTCAGAAGGGGTGCTCATTAAATATTTTCATTGTAACAATGAATGGAAACCATGATCCTACCCACGAGCGCGGAGCGGAGAGAGGGCACGAGACCCTGGCGCCGGGGGAAGCGCTTTCCCCAGCCGACATGCTCTCCACGGCGCGGTCTGGCCTGAGACACCTGACAACCCTGCATAAAATGGGGACATGGGAATCAAGTTTTACCCCCGTAACACATAACATAAAAAAAAACAAAAATCCAGTCTCGTTAGTAGATAGCTAAATTCTGAGGAAAACCTGAAATGTTTCTGTGTAATCGTCAACAGGCTGGAATGTATCTGGTACAGTTGAATCCGTTGTTTCTTTGGCTATCTTTCAATTAGATCTAGAAACTGTTTTGACACGCCTCCATCCTATTTTTCCTGTAATTCTTAAATTGGGTAGCTCTCCTTCAGAAAAATTACTTCCTAGGAGTGAGGGCGACTTCGGAATAGAAGAGGCCTTCAGAGGAAATGGCATCTCCAAGGCCCACCGTTCGAATGGGATCTTTACACACCAGGACTGGTGTGAAGTGGAAGGATATTCCCTCCCTGTGCCACTCTGCTACTGGCTCGTTGGGGTTTATCACGATCCTCGAGCCCACCTCCGAATGGGAAGTCATGAATTCGTGGGGTGCCCGCAGGGACACGCGGTTGGTGTCTATGGCTTCCGTGGCGCAGGCCTGCGTCCCGGCCACGCGCGCTCCTGCGGCCACAGCCGCCAGCTGGTTGGCCCAGTGTCCGTCGACAGTTGCCAGGATGTGGTACACCAGCGTGTGGAAGTGGATCCTGGTGAGGTCTGAGGCTCTGCTTTTACTCCTCCCATGTTCCTTCAAGATCCAAAAGAGGATATCACTGACCATGCCCACGTCGGGGACGCCATTCCAGGAAGAGAGAGAGGAGTGAGGTCCAGATGCCGCCTGGCTGAGGAAAAGCAGCTCCTGTTCGTTCAGGCCCAGGGAAGTCACCGCAGGAAAGACCTGCTAACAGAAACACAATGGAGGTCTCTTTCTGATGGACACCCAGCTCCTAAGAGACCCGAGGACACGGCCCATGACTATGGTCCGGGAAAGGCAGGCAGTACGGCATCTCTCTTCCTTCCCACGAGACTCCCCGCCCCGGGAAGCACGCGCTGGGGAAAGGAAGGTCACAGATGACTGCTTTGGCCATGACACCTCTAACCGCACCTTCATTATCACTTGGGATAAACCCAGAAAGTGGCAGTGACACTGTTATAGACTTGGTCTTCTGCTATATTCACTCAGACAAAGGGCAGAGGGGCACCTGCTTCCTATTGCCGTCCATGGCACCTCGCTTGAGACTTTGCACGCACAGCAGCCCCTCTGCCTACTGGTGGGTCCAGCAGGCGCCGTGCCAGTGAAACAGAGAAAGCCCTGTGGCACACAGGGTCCCATGGTTCCGTGTACACAACCCCAAGAAGCAGGGAGAAAGGTCTCCTCTTAGAGCTAAGCTTTTTAAGCAGCTGTGGGTTAGGGAAGGCCGTATTGAGTAATAATAGTGTGCAAAGGGTACTGAACAGGAGCTGCTGAGCCGGTTTTAGTCTTAAAGAAACCACTGTGTCGACCTATCTCTGACCTGGCGGAGCCAGAGAACCGCACACACAGTGAATGAGGAGCCCCTGGAGGGAGAGTGGAAGGGGTACGTGTGGGTGCATGCATGTGTGTGCGCATGCATGCGTTTATTATTTAAAAACCGGTGGCCTGTACCTTTGCACTTCCACGTACGGCATGTGCTGTGCCAGGCCCTGAGCGTGTGGCTTTATTTCATTCAATTCTTACCATAACCCTCTCAGAAGGAGGAATCGCCTCCATTTCCCAGATAAGGGGACTGAGGCTCAGAAAGGTTAAATAGATACATAGAAAACGAAATAAACATGGCTTTTTTAAAAAGTGGAAAGATAACCTTAAAGGAGAAATGCAAATTGAAACCTCTACTGAGAAACACCAAGTGCGAACGCCGACGTAAACCGCGGCGTGTGGGTGGCGACTGCATGTGGTATTTGGGAACTCGCCACATGCTACTCACTTTTGCTACAAACTTGAAACTGCCCTAAAAAGTAAAGTCTATTAAAACAACCCACAGTTATTCTCAAATATTTTTCACCTGTCAGACTGGTCAAAGCATGCGTGTTTCTAATCACGTTCTGGTGGCAAGGACATGAGGAAATGAGCACCTGTAAAGAGTTCTAGCGGGGGTGAGTGGGGACAGCTCCGTGGAAGGCACCTTGGCAGCATTACACCCACAAGGGCCTTTTCTGCCTCACCGAGCACTGTGCTGCTGCGAATTCATCAGACATATGTACCTGCTCACGGGGAGATGAAAGTCCTATACCAGGTTCTCTGCTGCACCACTGTTTGGGATAGCAAAGAACAAGAAACCAAGATGCCCACCGACACGGTGCAGGGTGAACAACCTGGGGACCCCACACGCTCCCTTTCATCGCCTGGCTGTGAAAAGACAGCATGCTCCCCAGTGATGACGGAGAAAAGGCTTCCAAGATCCAGTCAGTGAGAAGAAGCAAAGTGCAGAACAGTCCATATTCCATACATGGTGCGATCTTTTGGGGTAAAAAGGGACCAAACATGAAGGATATATCCCCATGTCTGCTTCTATTTGTACACTGACTCTGGAGGCATAAGGATGAAACCAAGAAGATTCCTAACAGTGGGTACGGGTGGTGGGAGGGAGACTTCACTATGTATCTTGGTATTATTGGGGTTTGAACCATATGAATATATCACCCATTAAAAAGGTTAAATAATAATAAATTAAAAGGTTCCGTAACTTGCCTAAGTTCACAAAGCTAGAGAACAGCAAGGCGGGCACGCCAACCCTGGCTTCCGAAGCCTGTGCTCTGAAGCACCGCACTCCAGGGTCTAATCCCTGCTGCCGACCGGAGGCACGAGTCGAACACCTTGGTGCCTGGTGGTGAGGGAGTGAAGCTCCCCCAAAGTTCCTCTCCTCTGAGCTTCTGGAAGTTCAACTGAAAGCAGCTGAGCTGGGCTGTTTTCTCCTTTGGGTTCTACTACAAAAACCATTCATGTCCAACTTCTCCATTCCAGGAGAAACAGGACCCACAAATCCATCAGTGATGCTGCCGTATTGCTAACCTAGTAGGAGATCCTGTTCCAGAATGACTCTGGCTCCTTATCTGGATCTTCATGGACCCAGGTCTGAGTGACAGAACATCCACATCTCAGTGAGCTGGCCCCCGGGGCCCCAAGAGCTGGCCCCACCGGAGAGGTGGGTGAGGGCCACAGAAGGCCGCACGTACTGCCGCTGTGGTTACCTGATGCACGATGCTCCTCATGAACTCCTTGTTGGTCATACTGGCCAGCTCGAGGTGAACTGGAATACCAGTGGGGATGTCAGAAATGGAGGTCACGACCTGCCAAGAGAAGAGCGCAGTGGTGCCATTAGAAACAGAACTCACGCAAGAGGCAAGAAAGGGTCAAGGCCGGGAGGCGGTGCCTCCGGTCACAGCCTTTTTTGCGTCATGATGCAAGCTCGAAGCCCCGGGGGTCACCACAGCCTCCAGACGAGGGACGCTCTTGCGGACAGGGAGGCGCCGGAGTCCTACACTCCGGGGACCAAGAACCGCCCTTGTGCTCAGGGAGCGGCCTCCTGCCGGGGGCCTAGCCCGAGGAACCGCCGCACAGCCGATATGAGGAGACGACCTGGAGGCCGCAGACCACACACACACTGCGGCGCAGCGCAGGGGCTCAGGCGAGAGGACGTTCTGCCCTGCCCTGCTGGGGCTCCCGCCCATCGTCCCGGGGAAGCAGGACCAAGGACCAGGCAGCACGAGCTGTGGAGGCCGCGAGCGGTGGGAACCTGAGGACCAACGCTAGCCGAGACCCGTGAGGTTCTGTGACGGTGCTATTACCTCCAAGAGCCTCTTCCTCTGGAGCTCCTTGCTCTGTCCCTCCATCATGTGCAATCCAGAGAGGACCACCAGGTCTGGCTGGAACTCCTCCAGGCTAGCCACAAACACCTCCAGCATATTCATGGCCCCGTTGGAGAGGTCGTGGGAGAAGATGAATCGGTTGGCATGGGGGGCTTTTAACCGGCCCCACTCCTCCCCTAGAAAAGCCCAGTCAGCACAGTGGGAAGAAAAGGAAGAGGCTTTAAGTCTCCTGGCTGTGGGGGCGGGAGGGGCCTCACTGGAGCCCCGGCTCCGGGCAGGCGGGCTTCCGGCTGAGTGGAGCCCAACGACAGTGGCCTAGACAAGCATGGCACTGCATCCAGGACGGCGGTCAGTAAAGAAACAAATCAACCGGACCCCAACCCCAACCCAACAACACAACAAACACAGCATGGGCGCTCTATGCCTTTGTCAAGGGGCTGCCGATTAGTCCCAGGAGAGCTGTCCTGCCGACCGAGCTCTCACACACAGGACGCCTGTGCCCCTTCCCCGTTACGGAGCAGTAGCACGACTTCCAAACACCAGCATCCAGTACACAGCGTGCACGTCCCTGCATATGGAACACGCTCCCTTTCTCGAAGCACTTCCCACCTCACAGCCGGGCCTCGAGCGTCTCTCACGCAGCCGGGCCCCATGGAAGGAAGCTGACTGCAGCCCCTCCTCCCTGATGCCCGCTGGTGGTTTCCCGGCACTTGATCCAGAAGGTAACGTCTGGCTGCTCTAGCCTCCTCCGAGCGAGCTGCTTTGGAATAATGACTGCTCAAGACCAAGTTCAAGCGTTACTTCCTCCCTAAGTGGCTGCTGACTGCTCCAGCCTGAGGTGCACTTTCACTGCTTTGAGCATCCCCAGAGATTTCCCTTCTCATGGTTTGGGGAGTATCATTTTGCTTTGAGCTAGCTCTTCTATGGTTCTGAACGAGTATTCAAACTTACACCATTACTTACCTTGTCATACATCTGTGCCCCATCTCCCCAAACAGAATGCCAGCTCTTTGAAGGGAACATTATACATCTCTTGATTCTCAAAGTACCTGTCACAGGCCCTGCAGAGAGAGCCCACTCAGCATCTGCTCAACCGATCCAAGCCGAGGGAGGCGAGGTGCACCCCTGGCTGGGTCTTCTGGTGGGGGGAGCAGTTTGGGATCTGTGCCCACCACAGGAGTGGCTCTCCCCACAGGCCCTGTGTCAAAATCTCCTGAGGAGCTGAGTTTTGGATGTGCACGTGGTGGGGCCCACCGCTGGAGATCCTGACGTGCATGTGGGTGGAGAACTACCCACACAGACCCCACAGCGGCCAAGCATTTGAGAGGCATGTGCTATGGCTGGGAGTCCTAAAGGAGGTCAAGAGACAGAGGCCCTCCCCGGGTTCCCTTGGTGAAGCCTCACCACTCTTTCTTCTCCCAAGGCTTGGCAGCAAATCTTGAAACTCAGTCAGCACAAGGGCCACCTGGGCTCTGTAACTGCTTCAGGCAATTCCTCAATGATCCCTCCTGCCCCCGCAACCAGCATGAAGGCACTTCCGGAGACTCAGGGGCAAGGATTTAGGAGCTGGGTTTCTATAGCTTTCCCTCCAAGTAGTCATCTCATTTACAAAATTAGAATTCATACACTGAAAGCTCGTTTTTCACTGGTTTCTATTAGTTACTGGACATTCCTTCAGAAAGCTTTCCCCGAAGGCAAACCACAGTAGAGGGTTTCCTCATACTGCAGGCTGATGTGCTGTTGTCAGCAAACCGCTTCCTCCTTCCTACAACAGTCCTCTCCGAACAGAAGCCTTGCCTCTCCACGGGGAGTGCGCGTGCCCGTACAGGGCTTACTCCGGAGTGTCAAGGTTGGCAGAGCCCATCTTTCCTTTACTGTGAGTTCAGCTTTACTGAATCCATTCCTCTGAAAAACATTTTATATGTGGATCATTTATATAAAAATCTATGAAAGAAGAAAAAGACATTTCCTATTTACTAAACCCATACACAATGGGTTATGTCAGTTACACCAACACAGTCCTTTAATTCCTGGCCCACGTCTTATCATTTGTCCAAAGAAAACACCCAATAATGGTCCACACAGCTGAGTGCAACACTCTGACCCTGTTTTATCTCCAAAGACCCAAAGCAAGGGTGGCCTCCCCTGCAAAGCCTTCCCTAACTCTGCCAACCCCAGTAGATTCAGCTGCTTCCTCCCCTGGGCCACTGTTGGTACCTCTTAAGGATGGGGCACATGATTTTGTAATCATCTGCTCGAGAGCCCATGCCCTGCAGTGAGCTGTGAGCTGAGCGCAGGGCCCACGCCTTCTGTCACCAGCTTGTCCTGCCTCACACCGCCCCTGCATACAGCGTGTGAACAAATGAATGAGCAAAGAACAAGCTAAGGAGAGGAAAGATTGAGGATTCGATGGCCTGTGACAACAAAGAATATGGGTATGACTCCAAATCCAACATCTTCCCCACTGACAAGACTCCGCACAAGGGGAGAAATCCACATCAGAATCCTCCTGAGGGCAAGGCCTGGGGCTGCCCCTTCTGGAGTGAAGCTGCTGAGAAGCACCGCCTAACTTACCCAGGAGAGCCACACGGCATTCAAAGTAAATGAATTTCCTCAGGGAAAGAGTGGGAGAGGCGAAATAAATAGGCCTCTGTGAGGCAAAGACGAGGAGGGAAGTGGAGAGCTGCTCCCTGGCTGTTCCCAGAGGACATAGGACTGACGGAACGGCCTGAGAAGCAAACCGAATGGAATGCAGACAGGGCGAGCCTGGAACCCCAATGCCCCCCGTTCTCACAGAGCTCGGAATGCGTTTCTCTGAGCGATCCCTTCTCTCAATTTACCGTCCTGCCTTCGGCCACTAGGTAAGCAACACCTATGTGTGTGTGACTCAGTGGGTCCCCGGCCCAAAGCCTGAAAACAAGCTTCTCTGGGCAAGTCCGGCAGGGGAAAAGGAGGAAACCATCGGTGACAAATCCTCTTTGGGAATTTATTCAACTAAATATGAAAGAAGCTGGAGATGGATTTCTGTGAAGACAAGTAATCCGAGGGCTTCTGCCACCAGACTAGCTTCCCTCCAAGGGTCAGTGAAAACGTAACTTCCCATAAAGTTTCATGGGAGGCCCTGCTTTGTACTAACAAAGTAAGGCATATAGAAAAGAAAAACTAAAGTGTGGGGTTTAGAAACCCCAGGATGGAGACAGTCTCCTTTCAAGATAAGCTGTGCCGTCTGCTTACCTCCACACGAGGCACAGCGGTCAAATCCAACAGCAAAATCTGGTTGAAGAGAGCAGTCTCTCCACCCTGCAGTCACCAGGGAAGCTGACAGGAACCAGGAAGGTCCCCAGGTCATGAGGTGAGCACCAGCAGGGTGCAAGGGAGAGGAATCTGGAACTGGCAGCAGCAGCACCCCCAAGGCACATCTTTAGCTCCTCTAGACCCTTCCTGTCAACAGTCTGGTTCATGCCTTTCACTGAAGGAGCTCCCAGTACCTCTAAGCCCTTGCCGCAATCTTCAGGCAGTAAGAACTATCTAGTCTGAGTTTCTGAGAAACTCAAAACTTGCGTATAATTAAATGTGAACTGCCTACTGCAATGTTCTGTCCATAACGTCCAGACCTAGCCCTTCCTAATTTCCTGATTCCAAGAAGCACCCAAAAGAGAACCAGAGACAAACAATTCCTTTTTTGCACATGGAGAAAAACATAATTTTCAAGAAGCACTCTATTTTCTATCTCACATTAATTACTCTAGTAGGTGAGGTTCTCTTAATCGACTTGGAAGCAGTTCACTGAAGCCTATTAAAGTAGTGCTTTAAGGGACCAATTAGTCTGTTTAGATGCTTGAGTCTTTAACTTGAGTTAATGATGTGTTGAGTCAGAAATTCAAGAGTCTGAGTTCTGAGCAGAGGAAAGAGACAACAGCAAATATGCAGATTAAATAAACAGAGTTAAAATATGTTTCAGTATTTAGGATTCTGTAAGAGTCAGAACTGTAGTCTCTGTGACACACAAAGTCTACTGGGAGTGACGCCGGATGGGCTGGATTTGGACTGATGAACACTGGAATGTTATATAATGGGAAATAATGTAAAGTGTTGCTAAATACAAACACTTCCACACCCAAGGGAAAATAAAAGGCTTCAAAGGAAGTTTGCCAGAGGCCTGGAATCAACCCTAACAGCTTGGAACAGTTGGCCAGAAAAGCCTAGGGCAGAATCCAGCACAGTGTTGTACAGATGTTACCTGCCCTTCTCTTTCTTTAGTAATAAAGAAAAACTTGGAATATGTGTGTTTAAAACATTTTCATTTTTATTCAAGATGCCAGTTTTCCTACAGCCTAATTTCTCTTGGGTTCAGGTCAGTTCTGTTTGTAGATCTGGGAATTTTCTTCAGTGTTATAATACTCTCTGTTCCCGAGATAATGGCCAGCATCAGCTCAGCAGAACCAAGAGGTCAGGCAATCTTCGTAAGGCAAGAAAGGGTCCTGCCAACTTACAAAGATCAATTTCGAGCAGTCACACCCCAGTCTGACAACACATAATCCCCTGTACAGTCTCACACCATGACTTACTCATTTCTCTCACCTGCTTGATATTCTAAAATAAGGTGGAACTCATCCACTTCCTGCAACGACTCTGGTGGAACAAATACATTATCATCAAGAAGTTCATGCAGCTTTGGACCAACTGGACCGCAAAGAAGAACCTGGAGATAAGATAGAGGAAATCTATTAGGAGATCTGTCCCTTTTCCCATAGAATCTATACAGTAACCAACAGGGACATCCAGGCCACTTCTATTCATTTCAACAAAAAACTGGAATCCAAATCTAATTTTAAAAGCTTTTGGTTTGGAGGTTATGTAGCAGAGGGGCTAGCAACCAGGGCTTGGGCCTCTGGAGGGAATGGCCACCAGAAATGAGGGGCTGACAAAGGACCCCAGTCACACCTGTTAGACAGATACCCACGTAGCTGTGGACTCTCATACGCTCTGTAAGTGACTGAATGTTTGTGTCCTCCACATTCCTGTGTTGAAGCCTAACTGCGATGTGACAGTATTTGGAGATAGGGCTTTTAGGAGGTAATTAAGGTCAAATGAGGTCATATGGGTGCGGTCCTAATCCAGGAGGATTGGTGGTCTCATAAGAAAAGGAGAAGGGAGATCTCTCTCTTTCCAACATACCCACTGAAGAAAGGCCATGTGAGGACACACCAGAAGGTAGCTGCAAGCCAGGAAAGAAGCCCTCACCAGAAACTGGACCCTGTTGGAACCTTGATCTTGGACTTGCCAGCCTCAGAATTGGGACAGAATGAATTTCTGTTGTTGAAGCCGCCCAGCCTATGGCATTCTGTTATTATGGCTGTCGAAGCAAACTAAGACACACCCCACCCCCACTTTCTTTTCTTTACTCACTCATCCTATGTAGGCAAACAGATACGGCATGTTGTCTACTCAGAGCTGCCCGATGAAAACAATTCTGTTTGAATTTTACACAGTATAGAAAAGAGCCTCAGAATCACAATATGGCCCTCCAATCAGAGGACCTAATTTGTGGGATCGGGCTATTATATTTGGCTGTTATGTGAGCAGGATAGCCTTCCAGAGATGGGAATTAAAGGGCACCTCAATTCAGCAAGTTGGGAGGCAGATGCTCTGAAACTTTCCCTAAACCTTTTCTTCAACTCCAACCTGGGACTCTCCCTGGCTATTCCTTCTTGAAGTCATTTCATATCTAATGCTGCTCCTGCCAGGCCAGCTCTGGACCCCTATCACAGCCAGGCCGACGTGCTCAAAACCACCAAACAATGAGGGCTTGGACAGGGACGTAAAGGAAAGTCCACAGAGGTGATCAACACCACTTCAGATTTAATATGCCCCACCCAGAAACTTCAAAAGGCATTTTACTCGCTAATTAACTGCTTGCTTGTACAGCTACAACTTTACTTCTTTTCTCTAATTCCTGGGCAGAACTTCAGCCTCCAAGATGAGAGATCACAGGCCAAATTTACCCTCCTGCCCAAAACAACAAAAATAGACAAAATATATGAAACAATGGTTTTTGCAACATTTGGCCACAACAATAAAGGACAGTGGTCCCTAACAGGAAAAAAACCAAACTGAGTAAGACCTACAAATGCCACATCAAATTACCTTAAAGGATTGTTTCCAGATACACAAAATCTGAAAGAGTTCATCATCAGTAGACCTGCACTATAAGAAAGGTTAAAGGAAATCCTTCAGGCACAAATTAAATGATACCAGATGGAAATAAGGATCTAAACAAAGGAATGAGGAGCACCAGAAAAGGTAACTCTGGATAAGTATATAAGATCTTTTTCTTATTATTTAAATCTTTTTAAAAGATAATCAACTGTTTAAAGAGCAATATTAACAACACAGGATGAGGTTTATAATATACACGGAAGTAAACCATATGACAACAACACTAAAGACCAGAGAAGAGAAAGGGAAGCACCTATTTATTATAAAGTCCTTAGATTATACATTAGGTATGATATCACTGACAGCAGATCGTGATGGCTAAAAATGTACACTATAAATCTTAAAGCAACCACTAAAATAACAAAGAATTATAGCTAATAAGCCAGAAGATAATATGAAAGCATAGAAAACAATTCAAAAGAGTGCAGAAAAAGAGGAAAAAGGGAAGATAAAGAGGTGGGACAAAAAGAAAACAAAGAGCAAGATGTCAGACTTAAACCTAATCTATTAACAAATACATTAAGTGTAAATGGCCTAAATAGCCCAATTTAAAGGAGACTGTCAAGGTGAATTAAAAAGCCCCAAATATATGTTGCCTCCAAGAAATATATTTATTAATTATGAAATCTAAGTCACCATTTTATTTACTTTGCAACAGACTTGTATGTTGTTGTTTTTATCTGGACACATTATTATTATATTTTTTTATTGAAGTAGAGTTGACACAAAATGTTACATTAGTTTCAAGTGTACAATATAGTGATGCAACAAGTCTGTATGTTACCTATGCTCACCACAGGTGTAGCTGCCAACACTGTAACAATACCATTGACTACAATTCCCTCTGCTGTACGTTTCATTCCCATGACTTTTTCATTCCACAACTGGAGGCCTGTACTTCCCACTCCCCTTCACCCATTTTGCCCATCCTCCCATTGCCCAAGGAATACATTTTAAATATAAAGACACCAATAGGTTAAAACAGAAAAATGGAAAAAGATATTTCACACTAACGCTAATCAAAAGAAAGCTACAATAGCAATTGTAACCAAAACAGATTTCAGAGCAAATATTATGAAATGATTTTCTTTATCCCTGGCAATGATAAAGAGGTCAATTCATGAAGAGGATACAGCAATCATAAATAGTTAGGTATACACTTAATGACAGGGCTTAAAAATACATGAAGCATAAAGTTATAGAACTGTAAGGAATAGATAAATCTGTAACTATAGATGAGGAGGTTAACACTTGCCTCTCAATAACTGATAAGATCAAATAGACACAAAATCAGTAAGAATACAGAAGACCTAAACAACACTACCAACCAACTTGGCCTGACATTTATAAAATATTCCATCCAACAACAGAATATAATTCTCCCTCCTCCTCTGCCCTCTCCCTCCCCCCATTCACCCTGGCACCCCTGCTCTCTCTCTCAGATAAATAAAATCTTAAAAAAACAAACAAAAAGACAAAAAAAACTTTACTAAGATAGACCATAGTCTAGGTCATAAAAAAGTCTCAATAAATTTAACAGGATCAAGAGAAGCATATTCTCTGACCACAATGTAATTAAAATAGAAATCATTAAAAGAGGGCACCTGGGTGACTCAGTCGATTAAGCGTCTGCTCAGGTCATGATCCTGGGGTCCCGGGATCGAGTCCCTCATCGGGCTCCCTGCTCTGCAGGGAGTCTGCTTCTCCCTCTGGCCCTCCTCCCACTCATTCTCTCAATCTCTCTCTCAAATAAATAAATAAAAATCTTAAAAAAAAAAAAAAGAAATCATTAGAAGATATCTGGAAACACCCCCAAGTATTTAGAAATGAGCTCATACACTTATAAATAGTTCACGGATGGGCTATCAAATAGCCCATCTCAAGAAATCACAGGGTTATTAGAAAGCACTTTGAGGGCGCCTGGGTGGCTCAGATGGTTAAGCGTCTGCTTTCGGCTCAGGTCATGATCCCAGGGTCCTGGGATCGAGTCCCGCATTGGGCTCCCTGCTCCTTGGGAGCCTGCTTCTCCCTCTGCCTCTCTCTCTGTCTCTCATGAATAAATAAATAAAATCTTAAAAAAAAAAAAAAAGAAAGCACTTTGAATTGAATGAAAAGAAAACTATAATGTATCAAAATCTGTGGGATACAGCTAAAGAAGTACTTAAGGGGAAATTTATAGCACTAAACACCTAGATCAGAAAATAAAGTCTCAAATCAATGACCTCAGCTTCTACCTTAAACTAGGAAAAGAAGAGCAAGTTAAACAACATGAACAAAACTAATGAAATACAAAAGAGAAAAATCAATGAAACCTAAAGGTCATTATTTGTTGAAAAGATCACTAAAACTGATTAAACTCTAAGCAAACCGATCGAAGAAAAAAAAAGATCACAAGGGGAAGTTGTAGAGAGGAAAGATCCTGAGCTCATCTCTTCCCACAGACACGCTGAGGCTGCAACAACATATAGAGCAACTCTCTCTGAGAACAACCTGAAGATTAGCAGAACAACTCTTCCACATTAAAGACATAAAGAAAAAGACATACTGAGAAGGGCAGAAGTGACAGACACACAGTCTGGTCGGGATCCAAACCCCCGGCGTCCTGACCCACAAGTAGGAGGGATATCACAGGTGTGGAGGTCCTCCCTGAGGAGTGAGGGGTTCAAATCATACACTGGGTACCCCCTGCCCTAGGGATCTGCACCGGAAGGAGGAGCCTCTATAATGTCTGGCTTTGAAAATCAGTGGGGCTTAACTCTACGGGAACAAGAGGGTTATAGGAGATTGACACTTCACTACTAAAGGGCTTACACAGAATCTTACTCACGCCAAGATCCAGTGCAGAGGCAGCAGTTTGAAAAGCACCTGGGCCATAGAAGAGATCTGACTAACTTTAGGATGTGTGCTGAAGGGACAGGGATCTGCAGGAACTTCCTCTGTGAATAGAAGCATTAGCAGGTACCATTTTTTGCCCTCCTTCAGCCCAGCTGGCCTGACACTAGGAAACAAAAATTCTAGCACTTTCTATCTACTTCACCACCACTGCTCACCCTGCTCCTGCATTTCCCTGTAGACCTGCTCTGCCCAACCTGCCCACCCGGGCAGGTACCCCCTCCAAAGTGGTTCTTACCCCCCCACACCTCTCCAAGGTGACTCCTGACCCAGGAAGGGGCAGGCCAGCCCCAACCACCAGTACCCCTGCAGCAGCCACAGCCTCTGAGCTAGCCAGGCAAACCGAACCACCAACGTGCCTACAGCACTTGCAGCCCAGACACAACAGATGGGTACGTGCAGCCCACACAGGTGACACTCCAGAAGTGCCTCTGCTTGACCAGGGGTGACTGCACTTCTGGGCCCCAAAGGATACCTTCTACACAAGGCCAGCACCTTCAAGACCAGAAAATATGAATGAGCTACCAAATACGTAGGAACAAACAGAGAGACCGACAAAATGAGACAGAGAAATATGTTTCCAAGAAAGAC